AGAGAGAGAGAGAGAGAGAGAGAGAGAGAGAGAGAGAGAGAGAGAGAAACACAAACAAAGATAGATTAGGTGAGGGTTGGGGGGCAGTTCAACTGGTAAAATGCTTGCCAGGGAAGTATGTGTGCCTGAGTTCAGATCCCAGCACCCGTCTAAAAGTCAATGTGCTATGCATGTTGTAACCTCACCAGGGAGGTGGGGTAAGAGGATCCCTGAGGCTTGCTAGCCGGCCAGTCCATCTGAATCAGTTAACCCCCTCTCAGAAACTAAGGTGGAGGATGGTTGAAAACATTGGGGAAAACGTCCCATTCCTCTGACTCTATGCACATACACACAAGTTTAGGCAAATTTTCTGAGGTATTAACACCAAAATCACAGTGTATGAAAATACGTTGACAAGCTATACTTTTGCTTACATAGAGACTCTTAAGAGAATATGAAGGAAACCATAGGCCAGGAAATATACTTGCAAATCATGTACCTGATAAGAAACAAGAATTCATAGATCTAGATTTTTTAGTGATCTAGAATTTATAGAACACTATAAAGTGAGAGAACAGGTTCATTTAAAAGGAGGCTGCTTTATATAACACCACATCCCTCAGTCTATTCAGGGCCAGCCTTGTGCTACTGTGTATATTAATTACATGTCTGTTGCTGTGAGAAAATACTAGGACCAAAGCAACTTAAGAAAGGGTTCGTTTTAGGCTGGCTCAGTACCTGAGAGGCAGAAGCAAGTGGATCTCTGTGAGTTTGAGGCCACCCTGGTCTACTGAACAAGTTCTAGGACAGCCAAAGCTACACAGGGAAACCCTGTGTTGAAAAACAAAGAACAAAACAACTAAAAAGAAAAGAAAAAAAGAGCAGAGGTTTATTTTAGCTTCAGGTTCCAGAGAGATAGAGGCAAGTACAGGACCAGGAGGCTGAGCACACAGGGACTGGAGTAGAGCTGTTACTGCCAAAGCCCTTCCCAGGGATGTACTCCTTCCAGCAAGGCGCTCAAACAGCACTGGCAACTGGGGATATCAAACAAGCACACCATGTCTAAAAAAAAAAAAATACTAGATTATAGAGAACACTTCCCAAAGAAGTTACACAGCTGTAAACACATGGAAAATGTTCAGTAAGGAATGTGGGAATGTGAGAGGCTACAGTGAGATATCAGGATATAAACTGACTTACAGGTCACTGGAAGGGTCATAAGGAGACGGAAGCTCATGTGTGGCTGGCAAGAATGTTGACTGATGCAGTCACTCTGGGAAACAGTGGTAACTTTAGTTAAAGGGCTGGAGGTGTATTTAGCATACCAGTTCATGGTGTTTGCCTTCAAGAAGTGCAAACAATTGTCTACCAAGACTGGTAAGCAAATGTTTGTACATGTTTTTTAGTAGCACTTCCAAACTGAAAGGTTCAAATGTCTTTTAAATATGGATAAGCAAACCATGCAGTAGTCTCATAGCGGAGTACAATTTATCATTTAAAAAGTGAGGACCACTGAAGCAGGTAACCTGCAAGGGTGTCACTGCCACACGTGGGCATGTGCCTTTATCCTGAGTGTGCCATGCTGCGTCTGCTAAAAGTGTCTGCCCTTCCTGGGGAGTCATTACATTCTCTGTCTCCATCCCCTGACCCAGGGCTTAGCCCACTCTGTATCCTGTGATATGTGCTGGGTAGTGAAGGAGTCGTGTAGACGGCTTATATTAAAGCAAAGGCTGCTCGTGGGAAGAGGGTGAACCGTTTCCTCATTTTAAAATGACTTCTTATTTTTCCCTTCCAAGAAACAGTATCAAACCCTGTTGGGTTCCTCGGAGTGAGTCCTTAGAGAAAAGGGGGCAGGGTTTTTTCTCTCAGTCCCAGCAGTTTAGGTCTCAGTGTCATGTGTGCATCCCTGATGTGTGTGCGCAGGCCACTGTGTGGAGGGCTGACAACGCTCTGGGAAGCTGGCCTCCTCTCCGTGCTTATGTCACCAGGCTTGCACGGCAAGCACCTTTACCCACTGAGCCACTGGACACTGGTTCATATGACAGTAGAAGGCCGTACGGTAACTGGAGAAGAGTATCAGCATATTGTCAGAGTATTATCTCCTTGCCTTTTTGTTTATTTTATGACATTAACTTGAGCAGTGTGGAGCAAACATAACCACTTGTTTTTACTTATGTCTGGAGAGGCCACATTGAGCCGTATTTTTTTACTAAGTTATATTTTATTTACTTTCTTTTCTCTCAATCAATGGTTTGTGATCGTTAAGAATACAGACTATGAAGATGAAAAAGCATTGAAGAATCCTAAATATAAAGACAGAGCTGGAAAACGCAGGGAGCAGGTTGGAAGCGAAGGGACTTTCCAGAGAGATGATGGTGCCCCTGCATCTGTTCACTCGTGAGTGTTGACGACTTCTTGTTGAGTTTTTTTACTCAGTGATTCTTTTCTCTTGATAAAATAGCTTTGTTAATCAACATGAAAAGTGTGATTTTGAAATCTATGACACTTACATATTAAATTAGCTACATTGTTTTTTTTTTATTCTAGGTTGAGTCAATTTCTGTGTAGATATGAAAATTATAAAAGTGTGATTTTTCTCTCTTGTTCCCAAACTGTAGTATTTGTGCCAGGTTTAATTTTGTAATTAACAGTTGGCGGTACTTTTTCCTCATGATACAGTGGAACATCCTACTGTTCACGGAGTTAGTTCATGACATGCAGTGAGTGTTTCAAGTTAGGTGCAGCAGGCAGCAGGACAACTTCTTTAAAAACAGAGCATTTCTCATGCTGAACAATATGGAGATTACATTAGATTTAAATGAGAAGGCAGAAGTAAGAACTGAAGCACGTTGAACTGCTTCGCTTGGTATATTAGAAAAGAAGCTAGATAGTATCCACATACCGAGAACATAATAAAGCCACGAAGTCAAAACTGTCACAGTAGAAAATCCATGACAACAAATGCAAGTAGGGACAAATGAGCTCTAGGCCCCTTTGTATTGGAACATTCATATAGACTGAAAGGCGTACTGTTCTGTGCTGACTGTTCAGCCTTATGAGACTGTGGAAGACTGCATTAAGAGCACACATTTCATGGACAAGAAGCACAACAGTGTCAGCGACCTCTGACCTGTGCTAATCACTGCCCTGGTCTCCTTCCCGACCGAACTTAGCCACCGTCCTGACAGCAGCAGCTATTTGAAGTTTTAAGTGAGTGGAGCAGGACAGTAGTCACATGGTGTCTGTATCCTCTTGTCCTGTGTAGCTTTGTTTGTACAGCTTATTGTCATTGCCACAGAACTTCCTTTGTGCATGTCCTCAGTTTGTCTCAGTGCAAGTGGACGTCTGAATTGCTTATGGTTTGTTGCCGTCTGTTAGGTGGCATCTATAGAGTAGCATTTGTGTCCTCCACCTTAGGAAGTATTGTCAAGTTTTGTTTTGTTTTGTTTTTTTAAGACAGGGTTTCTCTGTGTAGCCCTGGCTGTCCTGGAACTCACTCTGTTGACCAGGCTGGCCTCAAACTCAGAAATCCACCTGCCTCTGCCTCCCAAGTGCTAGGATTAAAGGCATGCGCCACCACTGCCCGGCTATTGTCAAGTTTTTAAGGTAGCTTTATGAGTTTTTTTTATGCAGGAATTTATTGTACACATGACCTAAAAAGCCTTTTATAAGTCAGTTATTAGCTTACTTTTCTTTTACAGTGAAATTACAGATAGCAACAAAGGCCGAAAGATGTTGGAGAAGATGGGTTGGAAAAGGGGAGAAGGCCTGGGAAAGGACGGTGGAGGGATGAAAACGCCGGTAAGACTTGTGATTCCCTTCATCCTAAGTTATTCCAGTCGGCATTGCCTCTGTGTAGTCCTGAGCCCAACATTGCCAAGCGCTGGGCTAGAGTAATAACCCAGACCAGACACGGGCAAGGCCTTTTTTGTGTTCCCATTTAACACACGTGCGTTTATTTGGGATTTTGTGTTTGGGAAACTCTTATTTAGAATTTTTTTCCTTAAATCAAAACTATTAAAGTGTTATTTTCTGAATCAAAGGTTTTCTTGTGCTGTTCAGTTGTGTGGGTTTTGGGTTTGTTTGCTTTACCATGTTGGCCATTTAAACTTTGAGCATGTTAGACAAGTACTCTTGCCAAGCTATGCTCAGCATGTTTATTTATTTACTTACTTATTTATTTATTATTTGTTTGTTTATTCATTCATCCATTTATTTCTTTGTTTGTTGGGTTTTGGTTGTTTTTAAACAGAGTTTCTCTGTGTGACAGCCTTGGCTGTTCTGAAACTCACTTTGTAGACCAGGAAGGCCTCAAACTCAAGAGATTTGCCTGCCTCTGGCTCTCTAGTGTTGGGATTAAAAGTGTATGCCATCATACCTGGCCCTTTTAAAATTTTTAGATGAAATTCTTACTAGTCTGGTGCTGAACATTGAAAGAACAGTGGATGTTAGTTTACACACAGGCAGATTCTGCGTTAGCTGGAGAATCTATTATGCTCAAGAGCCCCAGAACATTTTATGTACAATTATGTACACAGAATAATGTCTAGAGCACAATGCATTGGTTAAATTCTATAGCCCCATAGTTGATGGGAAGTAATAGCTATCTTCAGTGCATGCACACGTGCACACACAGACACACACACACACACCCTGCCAAAGCTGATAGACTACCAGCGTGAATATAGTGCTGGTTTTGTCATTTTCATTGGTGCATGATGGAGAGAATGGTTTGCAGTTAGATCCTTAGCATGTGTGAGCTTTATCACTGAGTCTTTAGTCATATTTGAAGTTGCATTGGTTATGTAAGGTGGGGACAGTAAAAACTGTCAAGAATGTCCTGCAGACCCCACCTATACTCTACAGAAGGCACCAGTTTCTGGTAACTGTAACTTTCTAACATAATGAGAGGCCCTCATCTCCTCGTAGGAAGACAAGCAACAGTCACATTCTCTATATAATAGTTCTGTGTGCACACAGCACTGGACAGTGAGCTCATGGCTGTATATGCCAGGCAGACACTCTGAGGTCCAGTGGCTTTCCCAGGCCTCCTCTTACTATTTTAATGCTTGGTCCTCTTGTACATTTACTTGAATGAGGCTAGGGCCAGAGGATTAAATGGTCTTTACTTTTGGTTAGAATGGACTGATACACTGTGTATCATTCAGGCGTGTCCAGCCTGTGTCTGTGGGCTGTGAGCAGTCCCACATAGCTATGAGTACAGCCTAAACAAACATGAGCGTACATAAAGCATAGTGGGACTTTTTGTTGTTCGTTTTTTGGGGTAACTCTTGCAGTTTCTGAGCATGAAGTTTGTGGATAAGAACATCACAATTGAAAAGGAAAAGCATCAGGGCATGAGGATGGCTGTGTAAGGCACATGTTGGTGTTTAGAGTTGGCTGAACTTGGGTCTACCAAGACAGTGCTAACAAAAGGCGCTTAAGCTGCAAGGGAGTAGACCGTGTCTTCTGTGTGCATTAATGCGATTGACAGGTTTTCTTTGCATGAGTCTTTAACAAGTCAAAGGATTGTAGTCAAACGTCTACACAGGGGAGTTTGGTGTGTTTAGATTCTAAAACAGTTCCTTCGCTCAATTTTCGTAACAGATCCAGCTTCAGCTTCGACGGACACATGCAGGCTTGGGGACAGGGAAGCCGTCCTCAATTGATGATGTTCACTTTCTCCAGAGTAAGAGCAAAAAAAACTGGGACAAAGCACGGGAGCGGTTTGCGGAAAACTTCACAGAAAATAAACCTCGGAAAGAAGCCCCAGGGACCGTGCCTTGGGTGACAGGGACTGCAGAATAAAGGCCTATCACGGGAGATTGGAGCTTCATAAGAGAAAGCGTTTGAAAACTGTAATGTAGAAGCCTGTGTCCCTAGAAAGTCAGGAACAGGAGGGAACTCTTAAGATGGCCCCCGATCCACACATGTGTGGGGACGTGTGGTTTGTAGCTTGTAGAAAGCAGTTGTTACACCGAGCAGGAACTCAATGGGCTTGTGCAGAAAGTGAATTCAGGGTGACAGGCACAGGAGAGCTGCCAGACCTTTGTTGTCGTAGCCTGTCACTCACCCCTGTGGAGGACAGCTAACCATGTGAGCAAAGTGCACATACCACTAATGACTTCAGCACATGTGTGTGTCCTGTTTCCATGTCATCATCATTATGACACACAGATATATCAGCTATCAAAAGTTTATAGAAACAATTCTGTGTGTATACTTGTTTACAACAGAACTTAGGTTTTTTAAAAAAGTCGAGAAACCACAGTAGTGGAGCTTAATTTTACTATCCTTGAAATAACTGCAGTAATAATATTGAAGAATTGATGGCAGGTTGACAGGTTGTAGAAATTAGTCTCACACTGTTTTCTTCTGTGAAGAATGTTGGTTTGTACTATATAGTCAGCATTTGCCTTTGGTTTTTCCTAGCTGATGGAGTATTTGATATAGACAACTGGGTGCAGTATTGGCATATTCAGTGTGCTAGCATTTTTAGTTTTGATAAATACCATTGCGGGCAATGGGACTGTGCTCGAGAAATCTGGTGACTGGGGCAGATGGGTTACTAAGCCAAGGCTTCAAACATTTACTGGAAATGTCTTCAAATGCAATAAAAAAACGTTTTTAAAGACTTGATTTCTTGAATAAATGATATAAACGTATTGGTCTCCTTTGTATTTGCACCCAACCAGAATTGTCCCCTTTGAATGGGCAGAAGAGTGGCAGAAGGGAGCCTGTGTGGCTGGTGTCTCACAGGTCCCCACTGTCCACCCCTTCCTTCTGACAGCTGCTCACGGGGTTGACATTGGCAGAAAGAATCAACGGCAGCTCCCCATTTGAAAAGAAACAAGTGCAGGAGTTTCTAATAGTGAAAGCGATACAGCCCTGGATGGAATTCAGAGTGGAAGGCGGAGCTCACCCTCCAGCTGTGCAGGGCAAGGGGGGGTGGCGAGGGTGCTGAAGGTCAGCTGTGCCCAAAGGTGAGAAAGGACCAGTTAGCACGTCCCTAGAGGGCCAGCGTGAGGGACTTTAGCCCCCCGATTCCTCATTTGAGTAGTGTTTGTGTCCTTACGCTCACGCTCGTGCACGCGCACACGCATTTGGAGGCAGCAGGAATGCTCTGCATTATTGTCTCTAAAGTAGAGATGAACATTCTGTCCTGGTGCTGGTTCCTGAGTAGGCAACAGTAGGACCATCACAAGACACTCTGCTGATGGGTCTCCCTCGTGTGCTTAGTAAAGTGGCTGTACTGTTTCTACCTTTAGTCTACTTTTGGGAGGTGTTCTTCATAGGTCTTTTTGCTAAGAAAATGGGAAACTAGAAAACGTGGTCAAAGACTGAAGTATATGTACAGAGGATGTGCATTCTTAAACCTCTGCAGATCTAAATCTCAGGGCTGTACTGTGGAGTGTTAGTGTATTAAATACATGTCTGGGAAAGAATTTTTATGTGTAACCAATTAGTAAGCTGTAAATGACATGCAAACTCCTGTTGGTTTAGAAACGTAAGTGTGAGCTGCGTCCAGCTTGGATTATGCCTCAAATTGTTCAAGTAGTACATTGTTTATGTGCAGATTTATGTGCTAATTTATATGGTAGCTTTTAAGTCCTTTGTTTAAATTGAATTACAGGTTCCTGGATTTTAAGCAGTTTAACATCTTTTGGTCAGAACATGAGAAATTTACTGTTTATTATAATGGCTGAAGAGGCCGTTCACTTTAACAAGTCATTTTCCGGTGTCAAAAAGCTCATGGGAGCACTCCAGCTCAGAGACACGGGGCTTTTGTTGTTGTTGTTGTTAGTTTTTGAAAGAGGGTCACTTCCAGCATTTCCTTTTTTACTCTCATTACGAACTCCACATGGCCCCACCATACTCAGAAGGCATCTGGTTTTTCAAGTGAGAGCCAGTAAAGTTGTGGGATAGAAAGGATACACGTGGGGTACCTGGGAACAGTTTTGAACCCAGCCCCTAAGGTGTCCTCTGGGACACTTGGACGCAATTTCCCAAGAATCTGGCCATATGTGTGTAAGCGTCACCTTCCTTTCTGCTTTAGAAATTTGAATCAGAACATTTCCCTTGCCTTTTCAGGCTTTAAAGTCGGATACTGTTGGATTCTTTGGGGTGAGATGTTGTTTCTGTGTGTACCTGCCCATCAGGGCCAGCCTTTGCCTCTTCCCTTCCTGCTTGGTCATATTTTTTGCTTGTGGCAAAGTGACTTTTGGAGCTCTGGCCATAGTCCTGTCTAAGGGAGAACTGGACAAGAGTGGTGCTAGACACCAGTTCTTTTCTGTCAGGAAAGCAAGGGACCTCAGCTGACACACATTGCCCACTTCTTAATGTCCCCAAGAGACTTAATGTTGGTACCAGGCCTGAACTCAGTGACGTTACATCTAGGAGACTGAGGCAACTAAGGTGACGGAGGCAACTCCTACATCGTTGCCAAGGCAACTGCCATATACTCTCAGAATCCACCTGACTGTGGCTCACATCCCCGACCTGCCAGCCGTAGGATCCAGCTTTCTTATCCTGGTCCTAGCCATATGTTTCTTTGCTAATACAAAAATGTGCTTTTCTCTGCCTACGCAATCCACCAAAGTTACTTAAGACAGGATAGGAAAGGCTCTGTCTTAATAGATTTTTACTACTGCTATTAAATTCTATTCAGTTACAACCAATCCTTATGGCTCTCAATCTTGTCAGAAGTCTGCTAATGGTATATTTAAGTTTATGGCCGACAGAATTCCCAAAGGCTCTAATAGTTGACCCAAGATGGTTTCAGACTCGATCACCAGACTCCTAGAAGATACAGCCTGGATTGTATGTGAACGAACGCAGTGGACTAAACTGGACGCTCTGAGTCAAATGACTTGGCTAAACCAAGGTAAATCATTTCTCACGTCACACATATCCATTCCACAGAGAAAAAGCCCTGCATCTTCTGCGCTTGGAAGCCAAACTGACTTCACCCGAGAGTATGGAGACCACGGGAACTGTTGGCTAGTGGACTCTGTCACTTTTTAAAAATAATACATAACTGGTAGATTATTGTTTACTCTTTCTCAGACTTCTGACTACATTGACAGCTAGGTTTTCACAGATATTATCTGTTAGCTCATTACCTAAACCCAGTTGCCATCAATTAAATGCTTCATATTTCCTCTTCTTGCTATGACCCTATAAACTTGCCTAACTCTAATAAAACATTCCACTATACGATCCAGCAAAGTCTCATCTTAAAGACTGCTTGTGTTGTTAACACATGCTGTTATCCCTTTTGTAAACTTATAAGCCACAGGAAACCCACTCAGATCTACCTCCCATGGACCAAATAGATGCCATCCAGATAAGTACATCTGCCTAAAGTTCCCACTTACTACCTATTACAAAGGGTGGGATCCCTCTGGGTTTCAAATGTACATCTTAGAAAATTTTTCTTTCTCCCAAATGTACTTAATCTTATTCCCTACATCTTGTCAAGTCCAGGCACATCCAGAACAGCTCCAGAGAAGCAATCTCCAGATGCTCCATCTCCTGTCACACACACAGCTGCTTCTACTGGACCTGTTCCTTCTGACCCATCCTCAGATGGCTCCATAGACCCTAGACAGCTGGAAACAGCCAATTCTCCTAAGACTGGACAAACATCCCCCATACCCATTCTTCTAGGTTCCCCCTAGAGACACATCGCCCCCAATGCCAGCAGGAAGTAGCCAGATATCACGACGACCCTATTCCTACTTCACCTCTTTCTAATTTTTCTTTTTTAATTAAACCAAAATGGGGGAATGTTAGTATTGTCTAAACTCCACCTCCACAGTTACCTGGCAACAGCCAGGTATGCTCCTCCCCACAGTTACCTGGCAATAGCCAGGTAGGCCTGACCACTATAAAAGGGGCTGCTTGCCTCTTCCTCTCTCTCTTCCTCTCCTCTCTCTTAAATCTCTTGATCTCTTGCCACTAGCTTCTCTCTGCCCCCTCCCCCCTTCCCTTCTCCCTCTCTCCACGTGGTCATGGCCGGCGTCCACCTCTCTCTCCTCTCTCTCTCTCTCTCTCTCTCTCTCTCTCTCTCTCTCTCTCTCTCTGCCACCCTCCTGGCTCCCCTCCCATGCCCTGAATAAACTCTATTCTATGCTATTCTGGTGTGTGGCTGGTCCCTCGGGGAAGAGATGCCTCGGCATAGGCCCACTGAGACATCTCCTTCCCCATACCTCTCCACACACCCACAGAACATACTCTTTATCTTTTTAAAAACACAACACTTAATGTCTCCAAGAGGCCTGTTAAAAACAAGCAACAGGTGGTCACACTTGACATAAGCTGATCCGTGAGACGTCAGTTGGGGCTGAGCACGTCATCGTCAGAACACTGTTGAGGTTTGCTGGACACCAGAGGCGAGGCAGTAGATGCTGTGTAAGCCGATAGCCATTGCCTAGGTAATCACAGTATGATGCATCTCTGTTGACTTTGTAGCCATTTAAATATGGACTTCCAGACATTTGAGAAAATCTGTCACTGCTTTCTGGTTTTTAAAGGCAGATTGTAGAATGTGCTGTCTTCTTTTTATTTTACAAACAGGCACGCATATGGAATTATTAGTAAGTGATCCAAAGAATATGCAGCTCTCTACTTCCTTTTAATTATTTCTGTGTATGAGTTCAGTTCAGGGTCTCACGCGTGCCTGCACATGTGCTTTGCTATGGAGTTGCACCCTGACTCCTACTGATGGTTGAGCAGGGAAAGGCTTTCCTTGGCTCACCCTCAGCAGGATGGATAACTTTGAAGGGGGAAGAGGAAGGCTGGAAACTGAGAGTTTGTGTAGCAAATCCTCAAGCTCCTGAGAGTGTTGTGCGGAGCTAGAGGGCAGCACACCTTTTCGTCACAGCTGGTCCTTCATCCTAGCTCAGGGTGGACGATTTGCAGTCCTTGGTAATTTATATCTGGGATGCAGTGCACGTTGACTGTGTATCAGTGACTGCGCTAGACACTTAACTTGTATCCCTGACTCTCAACACTAAGAATCAGGAAACCTAGACTTTAGAGGGTTTTGTTTGCGTGTTGTTACTGGGGACTTGGGGCAGATCCACAGTATGACCTGTATTTTTAAAAAAGTGGGGGCTTTATTTTCTTCAAGATCAAAATGGAAATGAGAATGATAACCCACCCTACTGGCTGAGGGTTCTTTTTCTTTAATTGGGTAGAAACCTCAGGTATAGAAGCAGCAAAAAACATGTCAAGTGCTGGTCTCTGACTCTGGCATCAGTGGGCTACTGGAGTGGGCAGAAGCTAGGTCACAGTCCTTGTGCAACTTCCCTCCCATTCCAAACCAGTGGCCAGTGATAATAGCTCTCAGCCTGTGAGCTGAGACTCTTGGTCCCAAACAGCTAGTGGGAACTCTTCTGGTCCTGGGGAATCACATCTTTTCTTCTCTGGGTCCTTAAAATGCTGCTTTAGGCTCAGTTTTTCACTTTCTTCTATCTCTGTGTCTCTGTTTGTCTCTCTGACACACACACACACACACACACACACACACTCATACACACACACAGAGCGGCTCCTGCTAGGCCAACTAAGATACCTGCCTTAGGAGGCATGAGCCAGGTGCTGTTGCCTCTGCTGTCTCTCCCTCTATCCTTCTGCCTGCCCACACCCAAGCTCACACTGA